GTTGTAGTGGTAAGTTTATACTTTAACAACTAAGTCCTTTATTGTCATTGTATGGGGTTCAAGAGGGAGAGAGAAAACTCTCCATGACGTTTTGTATATCAAAAAATATGCTTGAGAGTCAGAACTGTTCCAAGTATCCTCAGAAGGGCCGATCCTGTGGCTGAGCACACAAGTAACTCTGTAGACACAAGAAGACATAAGGTTATCTTTCTTTCCCATGTGTATCTCTTTCTCCTCAAAACAGGAAGTCAGCCATGTCCTAACGGAATTGTTTTGACATTACAAAAGAAATGCATGCTTGCTGTGTAAAAACTTTGAACAAGATGTACAGTATTAATCAACAGTAGGGAGGAAATCTCCCATCCAGCCCCTTCCTATTCCCTCTCTTCTGTTGAAATTGGTAGGTGTCCTTCTGGATGATTTGCTATGATCTGATGACTGTGTTCGTATATCCACTTCATACACAAAACTATTTCTCTGCCACATGAAATACAATGTGGCTTTATTTGTGCACGTGGGGAATCATTGTACAATGACCATTAACATTTGTGGAGCATATTTTAGTGACACGTTTCTCCACACAGAGCCACAATGCTCCTTTAAAAATGTGAGTCAGAGCCTGTCACGTGGCCCGCAGTGGCTCCCTAGTTACCTCTGAGGAAAGCCAAAGTTCCGCGTCTGCCTGCAAGGCCCCAGGGCACCAAGGCTCTCCTCCCTCCTCTCCGCCCTTTCCCCTCACTTCCTCTGTTCCAGTCCTCCTGAAACTTGGTCTTCCTCCCGTCAGCCAAGAATCTGGCCCTTGCCCTGGCTGGTCTCTGTCTGGAAGCCTCCCATTTATTGTCAGGGCTCACACTTCCTATGCCCCTTTGCCCCCCAGCATTCCCAATCCACCTTGTCCCTGTAATATTTTACTTCCTTTATAGCACACAGACTTCGAACTTATTAATTCATTCATTTTCTTCAAATTTTCATTTAAATTCTAGTTAGTTAACGTACACTGCAATATGGGTTTCAGGAGTAGAATTCAATGATTCATCACTTACATACAACACCCAGTGCTCATCGTAACAAGTGTCCTCCTTGATACGCATCACCCATCTAGTGTATCCCCCACCCACTGCCCACTGTCAATACTCAGTTTATTCTCTAAGAGTCTCCTAGGGTTGTTTCCCTCTCTTTCCCTTTTCCCCCTTCCCATATGTTCATCTGTTTTGTTTCTTAAATTCCACATATGAATGAAATCGTATGGTATTTGTCTTACTCTGACTTCTTTTGCTTAGCATAATATACTCTAGCTCCATCTACATCATTGCCAATGGCAAGACTTCATTTCTTTTTGATGGCTGAGTAATATTCCTGTGTGTGTGTGTGTGTGTGTGTGTGTGTGTGTGTGTGTGTGGTGTGTGGTGTGTGTACCATTTCTTTATCCATTCATTAGTCAGTGGACATTTGGGGTATCTCCATAGTTTGCTATTGTTGGTAATGCTGTATCCTTTGGATAAATACCTAGTAGTGCAATTGATGGTTCATGGGGTAGTTCTATTTTTAACTTTTTGAGGAACCTCCACACTGTTCTCCACAGTAACTGCCCCAGTTTGCATTTCCACCAACAGTGCAAGAAGGATCCCCTTTCTCTGCATCCTCGCCAACATCTGTTATTGCTCGAGTTGTTCATTTTAGCCACTCTTGACAGATGTAAAGTGATGTCTCATCGTGGTTTTGATTTGTATTTCCCTGATGATGAGTGATATTGAGCATTTTTCATGTGTCTGTTAGCCATATGTATATCTTCTTTGGAAAAGTGGCTATTCATGTCTTCTGCCCACTTCTTCACTGGATTGTTTTTTGGGTGTTGAGTATTAATTCGTTTATTATATATATGACTTTCATCTATAAATATATATGACATTTATTATATACATATATGTGTTTCCCCTTGCTGGCATGTAAAGTTCACAGGAGCAGAAATGTTTGTTCTGTTTGTCAGTGTATCCCAAGGGCCTAAGCTGTGCCTGGTTAATAACAGGTGTTCAATAAATTATTTGTAAATATTTTACAAATATTTTTCCTTTGCACTTCATTTGCCTTTGTATTCATAAGGTCTATTCCAGTACCTGACACATGATAAACATTAACTGTTGGTGGATTAATGCTGTCTTGCAGCCAAAAATTCAGTCAAGAAGGAAGAAAGGAAAAAGAGACAAATAGAAAGAAAGAAAAATAGGAAATAGTGGACACAAACTTCCAGTTAGCGCCATCTGGTGGCACAACGGTACTGTCAGGCTCCCTGGGCAGGAAAGAACAGATTTAGTTGTGGGAATAAGATAAACTAATACCTTTATTTATTTTTTTAAGATTTTATTATTTTTTTTTAAATTTTATTTTGGGGGCTCCTGGGTAGCTCAGTTGGCGGTGGGCGACCGACTCTTGATTTTGGCTTAGGTCATGATCTCATGGTCCATGAGTTCAAGCCCCATGCCAGTATCTACTCTGATAGCACAGAACCTGGTTGGGATTCTCTGTCTATTTCTCTCCGTCTCTCTCTCTGTCTCTCACTCTCAATATAAATAAACATTTTAATGTCTACACCTAGAGTGGGGCTCAAACTTATAACCCCAAGATCAAGATTCACGTGTTCCACCGGCTGACCCAACCAGGAGCTCTTATAGTACTACATTTATTTATTCATTCATTCATTCGTTTATTTATTTATTTATTTATTTATTTATTTATTTATTTATTTATTTATTTTTGAGAGAGAGAGAGCAGAAGAGGGGCAGAGAGAGAAGGGGATAGAAGACCCAAAGCAGAACTGACAGCAGTGAGCCCGAAAGGGGTCTTGAACCCACAAACCGTGAGATCATGGCCTGAATGAAATTGAATGCTCAACCGACTGAGCCATCTAGGCACCCCCAGATTTTTTATTACTACAGTGGACCCTTGAACACCATGGGTTTGAACTGTGTGGGTCTACTTATATGCAGATTTTTTTATAAATAGAGTACAATCTGTAAATGTATTTTCTCTTCCTTATGATCTTAGTAACATTTCTTTTCTCTAGCTTATTTTATTATAAGAATTGTATTGTACAGTATATAATACATATAGCACCTAAATAGGTGTTAATTGACTGTTTATAAGGCTTTTCCACTGTGGTGGGTCGACCCCTCGAATCCCCCATTGTTCAAAAGTCAGCTGCATTTTATTTTATTTTGCTTTATTTTATTATTTTTTAAAAGTCTAATTATTTATTTTTGAGACAGAGAGAGTACAGGCAGGGGAGGAGCAGAGAGAGAGGGAGACAAAGAATCTGAAACAGGCTCCAAGCTCTGAGCTCTCAGTACAGAGTCTGACGCGGGGCTTGAACCCAAAAGCTGTGAGATGATGATCTGAGCCAAAGTCGGAGGCTTAACCAACTGAGCCACACAGATGCCCCAAAATATTTTTTAAATGCGCTTGTCTTTTTAATGGTTACATGGCATGGTCATTTAAATGATTTTTTAAAAAGTAATATCTTATTGATTTAATAACTGTTCCAGCCTTTTAATATTATGAGCAATTAAAAATGAGCATCGTTTGCACAATTTTCTGTTTACTCTTCAGCAAATATCCCTAAAAATAGCACTGTTAGTGTTAAGGGCCACATACTCTAGTGGACTTTGCTAGATTTTTCTCTAAGTTTAGATTAATTCTCACTTCCCTGAACACTGAATGAAAGTGCCAATTTCTCCCCACTCTTCCAATAAATAGACATTATCACTGTATTAACATTTATCAGCCTGATGATATTAAAATCTCAGTTTACACGTATTTGCATGTAATTTCCTGTGACTTGAACATATCCTTATGTTTGCTGACTTTGTTCACCCTTAATTGTGAGAATTTCCTCTCCAAGCCCTTTAACTGTTTTTCTATTATTTCTTTTTATTTTCTTCCTGTCTTTCTATTTCTTAATTTTAAAGTTTATTTATTTATTTTGAGAGAGTGAGGGCAGGGGAGGGGCAGAGAGAGCAGGAGAGAGAGAATCCTAAGCAAGTTTAGCACACTCAGTGCAGAGCACGATGGGCAGCCTGAAGCCATGAACTGTGAGATCATGACCTGAGCCGGAACCAAGAATGAGATGCTTAACCAAAAACCCAGGCGCCCCTTTTCTATCATTCCTAAGAAGCTGTTCATTCTTTCCTTAACGGTTAAAAAAAAAAAAAAAAAAAAAAAAAAAAAAGTTCCTGGGTGGCCCAGTCGATTAAGTATCTGACTCTTCATAGCAGCTCAGGTCATGATCTCACTGTTTGTGAGATGGAGCCCCATGTCAGGCTCTGAGCTAGCAATATGGAACCTGCCTGGGATTCTCTCTTTTTCTCTCTCTGCCCCTCCGCCAAATGCACTTATGCTCTCTCTTTCTCAAAATAAATCAACTTTAAAATATTAATTAGGGGCGCCTGTGTGGCTCAGTCGGTTGAGCGTCCGACTTCGGTTCAGGTCATGATCTTATGGTTTGTAGGTTTGAGCCCAGTGTCAGGCTCTGTGCTGACAGCTAGCTCAGAGCCTGGAGCCTGTTTCAGATTCTATATCTCCCTCTCTCACTGCCCCCCACCCTCTGCTCACTCAAAACAAATTTTAAATTATTTATTGTGACAAATTGCAAACAAAAATAGGATTGCAAAAAAGTGGAGATAAGAATATAATTTAAAAATTGCAAAAGAAGTAGAACACAATGAATTACAATGAAGCAGTTACACAGTCAATGATTATCAATCATGATCCCTAGTGTTTTACCATAGAATATCCTTAACCTAGATTTTGCTGGTTTTATACTTCTCCTACAATGTGTTTTTCTCCTACTTGGTGACATCTATTTATCATGCTGGATCCTTTCCACGGTCATTAATCATTCAGTATTGACTATTATAGCCAGACCCATTGGTTACCCAAAAACAGTGTGAATGGATTTTTCTTGGCTTTCTTCCCTTTTCCCTGGAAACTGTTCTTCTCCCCCTTAGGTAAGGTTTCCGTTGATGTCTAATATACATATGAAAACGTGCACAGATTATAAAGATAAAGCTCAGTGAATTTCTAGAAGTTAAACACAAGTAGCATTCAGATCGAGTCAACAAAACGGTTACCAGAGCTATGAGATTCTCATGCTCCAGCACCGACCCCTCCCAAGGTAAAAACTATTCTGACTCCTAACCTTATAGATTAAACTTGCTCATGTTTGAGTGTTATATACATCATAACATCAAATATAGAATCTTGGAAGATTATTCTATTGTGTGAAAAAGCACAACGTATCCTTTATACTGGGGATGGGGATTGAGGTTCTTTGGAGCCTTCATTTCCCTTCATTCCAGCCAGTTACTGTTACAAGCAGTGTTGCAGTGAATAACCTTGGTAGTGTTTCACTGTCATCTAGGCAACTATGTTTTTTTTCAAATGTAAGAATATATAATACTGGTAAGTGGGAATCCTACCTTCAGAGAGTAGATGTATTTGTAGTTTTCCCTTACAAACAAGCTTGTCCTACTGCTAACAGATTCTTTACTAACAAAGTCCATTCATCTCTTGACTGCCTGAAGTCCATCAACTGGTAGTTTTCTCAAGAAGGACTCACGGGGACAGTATGCCCTGAGTTCTTACATGATCAAAACTTTTTCTTGAGCTTTTACTCTTTTGAATATAGCTTGGATAACCGGAAAAATCCTTGGCTCAAACTTCATTTCATTTTTTTGTCTTTTTGTCTGACTGTTGCTATGGATAAAACAGACTTCTTGGGGTGCCTGGGTGGATCAGTTGTTTAAGCAAGTCCGACTCTGGCTCAGGTCATGCTCTAATGGATCATGAGTTCAGCCCCACATCAGGCTCTCTGCTCTCAGCACAGAACCCACTTCAGATACTCTGCCACCCCCCCTTCCCTACTTGTGTGTGCACTCTCCAAAATAAATAAACATTAACAACAACAAAAAAAAAAAAGCTGGGGAGCACCTGGGTGATTCAGTTAGCTGGACTTCTGACTCTTTTCAGCTCAGGTTGTGATCTCACAGTTCATAGGTTCGAGCCCTGCATTGGACTCTGTGCTAACAGTACAGAACCTGCTTGGGATTCTCTCTCTCCCTCTCTCTCTCTCAAAAATAAATACATAAAAATTAAAAAGAAAAACTCAGACTTCTTTTTTATCCTGAAACTCAATTACTTTACCAGAATAGGTCTGAGTGCAAGCCATTCTGATATTTTAATATGTGAATTTAAATCTTCAATTCCAGGAAAATCTTTTTTTTAAGTTTATTTATTTCAGGAAAATCTTCATGAGTTAAGAAAAAATTTTTGAACATTTATTTATTTTTGAGAAAGAGAGACCGTGAGTAGGGAAGGGGCATGGAGTGAGGGAGACCCAGAATCCGCAGCAGGCTCCAGGCTCTGAGCTGTCAGCAAAGAACCCAACAAAGGGCTTGAACTCATGGACCACGAGATCATGACCTGAGCTGAAGTAGGATGCTGAACCGACTGAGCCACCCAGGCGCCCCATGAATTTTGATTTTAAATATTTTTCTATTCCATGATTTGGGGCTTTTCCCTTTGGGGTATCCAGTTAAATATTTTTTATCTCTTTTGTCTATCTTTAAGATCTATCACTTTCTCTCCAAGTCATTTTTAATAGTTTTATTGATAAACAATCCACATACCATTAAATTCTTCCAAAGTGCACAGTTCAATAATTTTAAGTATATTCAGAGAGCTGTGCAACCATCACACAATCAATTTCAGAGCACATTTATCACTCCAAAAAGAAACCCTGTATCCACTCCCCATTCTCGCATGCCCCCCAGGCTTAGGCTACTTTCTACTAATCTACTTCCTGTCTGTATGGAATAACTATTTTATATATTTCATATGAATGCAATCATCCAATATGTGGCCTTAGCATAATTTTTCAAAGCTTATCATGTTGTAGCAGGTATCAGCACTTCATTCCTGGTTATACCTGAATAGTATGCTATTGTATGGAATACTACATTTTGTTTATCCATTCATTACATGATGGGCTTTTGGACTATTATGAATAATGCCTCTGTGAATATTCATATATAAGTTTTTGTGTGGACTGTGTTTTTATTTCTCTTGGATACATACCTAGGAGTGAAACTTCTGGGCCAAAGGAGAGAGAGAGAGAGAATCCCAAGGAGGCTCTGCACTGGCAGCACAGAGCCCAATGTGCACCTTTAACCCCTGAACTGTGAGATCATGACCTGAGCTGAAACCAAGAGTCGGATGATCAACTGACTAAGCCATCCAGGTGCTCTCTTGCCCATTTTAAAATCAAGTTACTGTATTTGTCTTTGTATTGTTGAATTGTAAGTGTTCTAGGTACATCCTGGACACAAGTCACTTGTCAGATATATGATTTATAAATTTTTTCTCCTATTCTGTGAGCTGTTCTTTCGCTTTTGTTAGGGTGTCTTTGGAAGCATGGAAGACTGATTGATTGATTGATTGATTGATTGATTGATTTGGAAGCACAGAAGTTGTAACTGATGAAGTTCCAATTTATCAATTTTATTATTCTTATGCTTATGCTTTTAGTGTTGTATCCAAGAAACCATTGCCTAAGCCAAGAGCATGAAAATTTACTCTTATGTTCTTATAGGAGTTTTATAATTTTACCTCCTACATTCAGGTCTATGATCTATTTTATGTTAATTTCATTGTGTGGCTTGAGGTGAGGGTCCGGCTTCATCCTTCTACTTATAGATATTCAATTGTTCCTATACCATTTATTGAAAAGACTATTCTTGGGGCACCTGGGTGACTCATCATGTTAAGTGTCTGACTCTTGATTTCAGCCCAGGTCATGATCTTATAGTTTATGAGATCCAGCCCCTCATCTGGCTCTTTGCTGACAGCACAGAGCTTGCTTGCCATTCTCCCTCCCTCTCTCTCTGCCCCTCCCCCATTCATGCTTGCTCTTTCTCTCTCTCCCTCTCTCTCTCTCTCAAAAAAAAAATACTATTCTTTCTTCCACTGACTTGTCTTCACCACATTGTAAAAGTCAATTGATCATACTGCAGTCTTCCAAAAAGAATTTTTAACTTTTTTTCCTATTCTACATTTTGCTTTTGTTTGCCACAATAGCTACTCAACATTGCCCTTCTTTGAATTTCATCTTTAACTCTCTTATCTATAAATTTCTATTTAGATTTCTATAAAAGAGAAGGAAGGCTGGATTGACATCCTGGTTGATTAAATGAGAAGTCAGTGTAAGCACAGACTCAAGCAAGGATGCACTGAAGCACAGGAGATTTTTTCAGAAATGAAATGAGTTGGCCCAGCTGCCTGATATGGAGAGGATGTTATGGCATTGCAGCGGTGTAGTAATATGATTTGTAAATGATGGAAAAGTGTTAGAAGCAGATTGTGGTTAGTTTCGTAAGTCTGATCAGGAAGTTTATGTCTTAGTCTAAAAGTAAGTAGCAAAGAACCAAATTAGAAAAAAAAAAGGGCTAATGAATGGTTGGATAAAGAGGGGATTTAGGATAGATTACAAAAATAACAACAACAATAACATAAGGGCTAGGAAATGAACTAGAATAGTTTGATTTGAAGTCAATCAGTCTTAAAGTTTATTTTGAGAAAGAGAGAGAGACAGCACCACCAGGGGTGGGGTAGATGGAGTGGGAGAGAGAGGATCCCAAGAAGGGTCCATGCCATCAGTACAGGGCCTAACGTGGGGCTCAAACCCATGAACCGTGAAATCATGACCTGATCTGAAATCACGAGTCAGATTCTTAACCCACATCCCAGAAGTTAATCGGGCTTCTTATTAGAGTCATTGCAATGAGTTTGGAAAGAATAGGTAAGATAGTTTTTAAGGATCAGTTTCAAAACGAAGCAGTAGTTATGGATAAAAATGAGGACTGTAAGAACAACATTAAAATTGATTAAAAAGTCAGTATGGCAAGAATGCAATTTTGGGGGTGCCTGTGTGTCTCAGTCAGTTATGCGTCTGACTTCGGCTCAGGTCATGATCTCGAGGTTCATGAGTTTGAGCTCCACATTGGGCCCTCTGCTGTCAGCACTGAGCCTGCTTGGGATCTTCTGCCCCTCCCCCACTCACTCTCCCTCTCTCTCTCTCAGAAAGAAACATTTTTAAAAAAAGAATGCAATTGGTGGGGGCACAGTTAGACTTAGCTGGTTCAGTCAGAAGAGCATGTGACTCTTGATCTCAGGGTCATAAGTTCAAGCCCCATGTTGTGAGTAGAGATTGCCAAAAAGAAAATCAGTTTTGGTTCACCAAGCAGAGAGAAAGTTAAATGTGTTTATACACGAGAATATAAAAGTAACGAGTGCAGAAGTAAGAGAGATAAAGTTTGAAAGCTAGTAATAGGGTAGGAGAAAAGAGAAATTATTTTTCTTTCAAACAGAAGGGTTTTTATATGTTTGTAAAGAAGGAAGAAGCCATTGGGGACCATGAGATTGAAGATAAGGGAATGGTGGCGAAGCAAAGGGGAGAAAAAAGAGTTGTGTTCCCAATGCCAGGAAAATATTCCACAGGAGTAACAAGGAGGAGAGAATATCCCAGCCAGGGTAGGAGAAAGAGCACACTACCATTAGATGAGCAGGGAACCTTTCCTTCTGGATCAGAGGGCGAAGAGTTGGGTGTGCATACAATGGGAGCAGAGGGTGCTACCCATGGGAGTTCCTGTGAGATGCTCTGGCCCTTCTCAGGAAAATTAGAATTTATGGTGGGAATTTCTAGGAACAGCAATAGATGGAGAGAAGTGCTGAAGAGCTCCTGCAAAGGCTCCTGTGGGCCCATTGACTCTATTTCTCCAGGAACACTCTCTGTGAGAGGCTGGATTAAAGGGCTAACCTAAAGTTTAGTCATTGGCTTGCCTCCAGCCAAGGCCCTAAAGTGAGAAGTAGGTTAGTGAAGTCACCATCAGAGTGGATAAAAGCATCTTTGGTGAATTATCTGTTAATAGCATTCTGAATCCTGACCCTTCAACAAGAGGGAAGTGTCCTCAGTAGTAATTCTACAAACAGACTCAGCAAGAATCTCACCTTTCTTGTGTCCCATTCCTATTGTCAATTTCATAGTAATGAAATGAGTATAAATTTCTTGGATATTGCTTTGAATATATGTATAAAGGGTTGCAAGACTGGCCAATGAAGTTGGAAATGTTTTATCTGCATCAGCAATTCTGATTGAAGTTCAGCATGCATGTGTAGTTGGGGTTAAGTCAAGCCCTCTTTAAGGTGAGGAGAAGGGAGAAAAATGTATTGTCCACCAGTTGTGGGAAAAGGCAGCCCTCTCATGGTGGGTAGCACCACTGGAAGACAGAGGTGGCTGCCTGGGAGACGCTGAGAGGGTTTAGATGAAGTAAGTTAGAGAAATATTTTCCTTGCAAGAACGAACAAAAGTACAATCAAGCTTAGTTTAACTGGTGGTAATAGACATGTCTATGAAGCCACCATGCAAATGTAGGAAAGGGGGCATTCATGCTCCATTATATTGCCTTTTTTTTTGGTCATAGATATTGATATAGTGTACTCACTAGTGACCGTAATATATTTGGATATACGTATATATACTGTACATACATATTTGCATATATTTGTATATAGTATAGAGTTTTCTTTTTAATATTTATTTTTGAGAGAGAAAGAGAGTGCGTGAGTAGGAGAAGGGCAGAGAGAGAGGGGGACAGAGGATGTGAAGCAGGCTCTGTGCTGACAGCAGTGAGTCCGATGTGGGGCTTGAACTCACGAACCACGAGATCATGATTTGAGCCATAGTCAGATGCTCAACCTACTGAGCCACCAGATGCCCCCATTCTTTGTTTTCCTATTTTGCTGGAAAGAGAAGAAGAACCTAATTGTTTTTGCTTCATCCCAAACACTTTTGGTTCTTCTCTGATACTCATTCAAGTTACTGCATCTACAAGTTAGGATACAGTGGTTCCCAGGAAGATATTTTCCCTCCTACATTCCCTTATCTCCAACAGAGGTTTCACTAGAATATATTAAACCAAGAATGTGAAGTATTGTGGGGTTTATCTAGTATTTATTGCTGTGTAACAGTCCACTCAAACCTCAGTGTCTTGAATCGACTATAATTAATTTTTAAAATTCTTTTAATGTTTTCTTATTTTGATAGAGAGAGTGAGCAGGGGAGAGAGAGGAGTGTAGGGGAGGGACCGAGAGGGAGAGAGAATACCAAATAACAGCACAGAGCCTGATGTGGGGCTTGAACTCAAGAACCGTGAGATCATGACCTGAGCCAAAACCAAGAGTCAGGTCTTAACCAATTGAGCCATCCCAGTGCCCCTATAATTCACTATTTGCTGTAATTTTGGAGTTGGCCAACTCAGCTGATTGGCTGTTCTTCTTCATTTAGGATCATTTGGAGTCACTCATGCAGCTGTAGCCCTCTGAGGCTCGAATGGGGCTTGGTGATTCAAGATGGTCTCACTTTCATGTCTAGTGGTTGGTGCTGGCTCTCAGTTCCTCATGGCATTCCCTCCTGGAAGGGTAGCTAAAACTCTTTGCATGGTGGCTCGGAATTCCAAGAGTGTGAAGCAGAGCTCCAAAGCTCAAGGCCCAGGCTCTGGCAAGGCTCTGGCATTCACACAATGTCACTTATACCTCATACTGTCAGTCAAAGACAAGCCCTCATGCTATGGTCAAACACAAGCATAAGGCAAGCCCAAGGTCAAATGCGGGGGCAGAGTGAACTGCCACTTACTGATCAGACCAACTGTAAAGATTCTGTGCTGTTTCTTTCTTTCTTCTTTTTTTAAAGAGCTTATTTTTGAGTAATCTCTATAGCCAACATGGGGCCCAAACTCAACCCTGAGATCAAGAGTCACACACTCTACTGACTGAGTTAGCTGGGTACTCATCTGTGGCTATTTCTGACCCCTCACAAAGGGATTAAACACAAGTCCATCTGTAAAATGCATACTGGCATGTCTGGCTCAGAGCAAATTATTTCAAAATGTTAATTGTTATTGTTATTTTATTATTATTGGCCTTTTCCTCTTGAATAAAAAGCACTTTTCCTGAGTAACAAATAAGTGCGTTTCTCTTTAGATAAACTGAAAGTTGTTCAAAATATGTAAGACAAAATCTTAAACAACCCATATAGGATTCTTTGAATTAGTATGAAATGTCTGAGGATATATGTCATGTAAGAATTTGAGGTGTTTTAGAGAATATAATTGTTGGGCATGTGAGTAATTTGATAGATCTTGAGGTAGAAGAAAACTTAAAATGGTATAAAATTTAAAAAGTAATCACAAGAGACTCTTCAATACAGAGGACAAACTGAGCGTTGCTGGAGGGGCAGAGGACAGGGGATGGATTAAATGTGTGACAGGCATTAAGGAGGCCACTTTTAGAAATGAGCATTGGGTGTCATCAGACCTAAGAGATGAATCACTGGGTTCTACTCCTGAAACCAAGACTACACTGTATGTTAACTAACTTGAATTAAAAAAAAAAAAAGTGCCCCACTTATGAAGTTTTAGAGACTGTAAAATTGTTACCCCCCAGCCTTTGTACTTTGCTGGATGTTTGATCTTTCACTTCGTCTTCTTGTCAGGAATTTGAGAATAAAATCCCAGCAAAATGCTCTTTAACGGGGACACCGATCCAACCGAAGATGAGACGGCAGACAAGCCTCCGGCAGACAAGTCTCTCAGGTGTTCGGTATGTGTTTACAATTCTGTAACAATCTACACGGGAAACTTTACATTCAAAAATTGTGGGGAAAAAATTTGGAGCTGCTGAATACTGGTGACAAGCCTGGGCGCCACAGGGAATAAAAACATTCCTCTTTACTGACTTAACACTCTTTTGTCACAGTGAAAGGCAGCACCTCCGTGGGCAGGCAAGTGTGAGAGCGAAGTTGTCTTCGTGATATTGGCAATCATCTGAAAATGCCATTCACCTACCTTCGCCTGCTCTGTATTTGTTGCTCTTGCACAACTAGGCTAGGACTGAAGGGAAACTCTGCATTGGGCTAAATGATCCAAATTTGGGCTCTCACTTTGGCCTTTTGGCCTTCCAATTGAATGGCCTAAGATGCTTCTTAGGGATAATGGAATGAGTAGGCAAGATGCTCTGGAAAATGAGATTTTATTCTTTCAATACGGGATTTTACATAAGAAAAATACTCTGAAGGAGGCGCCTAGGTGGCTCAGTCAGTTAAGTGTCCGACTTTGGCTCAGGTCATGATCTCACGGTCCATGGGTTCGAGCCCCACGTCAGGCTTTGTGCTGACAACCAGCTCAGAGCCTGGAGCCTGTTTCAGATTCTGTGTCTCCCTCTCTCTCTGACCCTTCCCTGCTCACGCCGTCTCTCTCTCTCTCTCAGAAATAAATAAAAAATTTAAAAAGAAAAATATTCTGAGGAAATATTTGTCTTTGCAACAACTACTGCCAAACATAATACAGATGAAAGTATTTGCTTTGGTAAAATATCTCCGTGGGTAAGGACTATTATAACTTCCTTTGCACTGCATTCTAGAACATTCTGAGCCCTTCAGACACCAGGATGAAGCTTTGATGTCTATAGTATCTGGTTCTCTTTCTTCCTTAAGAGAAATGTAGCCTTCCTCAAAACAAAGGCTGAACCCCCCACATCTTTCTCTCTTCATGGCAGCTCATTGAATTTCACATTTGAAAAGTCATACAGAGTTTAGAGTCCAAGTTTGATGGGCTCATTTCATAATTGAGGAATTCAGTAACATGTCTAAATAATATCCCTTTCTGGGATTGACTGAGAGATTTGACCCTCTGGTGTCTGTTCCACATTGCCATTCATTATTAACTTGGGTCAGTTAGGCAGACATATTTTCCCTAAGATGCTTCTGTTTTGTTTTATTTTTGTTTATTTATTTTGAGGGGGGAAGGGCAGAGAGGGAAGGGGGGAGAGACAAACCCAAGCAGGCTCTGCTCCACACTGTCAGTGCAGAGCCCAACTCGGGGCTTGATTTCACAAAGTATGAGATCATGACTTGAGCTGAAATCAAGAGTTGGACACTTAATGGACCAACTGAACCACCCAGGCACTCCAATGCTTCTGTTTTCATGGTTATTTGTTATCCTCCTTATTCTTGGGTTTTTGGGTCTACCAGACAATTACATCTTCATCAATCTCATGACTTCCCACCTTTTGTCCTACAGCTGCCAGAAGTTTATGCATTTCTTGAGAATTTTAATAAGGAGAGCAAGAAGTCAAGTCTCCTAAAAACTCAAAGTATTTCACCCAGTGAAGCACAGAAAATGCTTAATCAAAACCTGAATGCCATGTCATTCACCAGTGGAACTGATGTCAAGGAAAAAGACCCCCAGTCTATTTTCATGTGCAAGGTGGTTAGAAAAGAAAAGGAGAAACCAGAACCGATGACTGAACTACTGTACCAAAGCTTGTTGGCCATCTCACCCTCTCCAGTGGGGGGGCTGTCCAAATCCCAACAGAGGCTCTTACAGTGTGGAATCCCTCCCCCCACACACACCTTTCCCTATGAGATTCTCGTTGATCACTCCAGCTCCTCATCACTATCCCCCACGCAGAAGACTCAGGGAATTAACATATTACATGGGCTGGGGATTTCCAGGATCATGCCAGAAAATTTTATCTTTGAACACAGAATTTCTGAGTACTTCTTAATTGATCCAGGTAATCTAAACAGATGAGTCCATGTGAGATGAAATTAATGGAAATCTGACTGCAGCTTTTACTTAGTTTACTAGAGCTGAAATAGTCAAATAGTGACCATGGGAATCTTGCAGTCATGGGGTTCATGACTGATGTGCTTGCTGCCTACAGTACCAATGTGAGGTACAGAACAGAGACTCGAACATTCCAAGGTCAAATCTCAGGTCCAGTCTCGAAAAGGAGTAGTATAGATGCAGTCGTTACACTCATCTTAGTAACATGAGCTGGTTAAACTTGGACTCTAAAGCACTCATAACTATTCTTCTTGTTAGGTGAACTTAGCCAATTATTTACTGAAAAATGGCTTATTTTCTCAAGCATCTTGGCTTTAGTGACATTGAGAGTTTTTTAAGATACTTTTTCATGAACCTTTACCTTTTCTTTACTATTACATTAACAAGAGGAAACTCCTCCCTTCATATCTGATTTAAAAAATTGTTTTAATGTTTATTTTTGAGAGAGAGAGAGAGCATGAACAGGAGGAGGGGCAGAGAGAGAAGGAGACAAAGAATCCGAAGCAGGCTCCAGACTCTGAGCTGTCAGCACAGAGCCTGATAAAGGGCTTGAGCCCATGAACCATGAGATCATGACCTGAGTTGAAGTCGGATGCCCAACTGATTGAGCTACCCAGATGCCCTCTTTTCTGATTCTTTAATAGGGAAGTACTCATAAAAGACCAAAGACTATTCAGAGAAAACTGGAAATATATCGTGGTGAGTTTTAATGAGAAGGGAGTGTCTTATAAGGTCCCCCATTTTCCATAATTTGAGGGAAGTAACTGTTTGCAATTCTGTGTAGGTGTAAAAAATAATAGATTAAATCAATGATATAAAATATTTGAACCTTTCTGAGGTAGGTTCTTGACTCAAGACCATTTGCACAGCAAATATTTGACAACACCATTTTTACATTAAAAGTCATGGGAGACAGAGGAGCAATTTAAAGGCACTGATTGATTAATTTCCTCATATTTGGACCAAGATGCTGCAATAGTCCTTGCTGTAACTCCCCACACTGATGTCTTGACAGAGTCTAGTGCAAGTTTCACATTCCCTGATACTTTGTGTGTTCTGGAGCCCAGGCAGAAGTAGAAATCAGGGCATTTGTAGGAATGGCCTAGGTAACCCACAGAAGTGCATAAGGTCAAGTCTTGGAGCAGAGAGGAAAAAAATCATGGAAACTATTGGTAGTCAGTACCTACTGCCAAAGAGCCTATTGAAAAGTCCTGAAGGCTTTGGATGTTTGATAGGATGTTGGTGGTTTTGCCATACCAACAGGAGACAAATTGTCCTCTCTTCCCAAGGCATAGCTTATCTCCTGGCTACCTAACTTCTCCAGGTCTCTCATGTGGCTTTCCAGACTCTGTGTTAGAGTTTCTTCTGTGTCTTCATGACCTCATTTCCTCAGATCCTTAGGTAGGGTTTCGGGTACACATCCTGTCTATTCAAGGAATATGCATGAAGCCTGGTAGGCATACCTATGAAGAATATCCAAAAATTTCTTAGGTTTAGTTGGTATTGTAACAATTCATCTTTTACAATCCTACATTGCCCACTATTACTATCATTTTATCAGCCAGCCCATCCCTAAAGTATTCTTAGCCCAGGAGAACGTTAGAACTCCTGGTATACCGAAGAATATTATAGAAGATATGCTTACTAGCATCAAGCACTGGAGGCGGGGGGGGGGGGCGGAAGAGAGTAAGTGTTGCCATTTTCTTCTTCTATCTTATCAGTTTCTCTTGCTCAGGCTAAATTCTGTGGGACTGTGTAGGTTGAAGATTATTTTTCTTATATACTTAGAAGTCTGGAAGCAGGCAGATAGTGTTGGAACAGTGCTTTTTTATATTGTCAAGTACCCAGGTTCCACAGCCTTTTTGTGTGTGGCTTTTGTCTTCATGGACAAAAGATGTCTCCTTCACCTCCAGGTACTATGGCCACATTCCAGGCAGGAAAAGGGGCTAAGACAAAGGGGCATAATGGCTATTTCTGTCTTCTTTTAATAGTGAAGCAAAACTTCCTCAAATGCTCCTCTTCTGTGACTTCTCCCTACATCTCATTGGTCAGAATTGCATCCAATAGCCACCCCTTACCACTGGGTGGTGACTAGAGATCTTAGTTTTTCACCCTCTATAGTCAGAGGAATGCAGAAGAGGATCACAATGGGTATGGAGTGAGCCAACATATAGTATCTACCACCCATCACAACTTAAAGCTCTATAGTAGTCAAAATAATCAACTCTGTGGCCTTCTCTTACCAAATATCCCTTTCCTTCCTTCTATACCCAGATCTTCCCATGCCAGGCCTGCCAAGACCTTGTTAAACTCCCTGACACTTGGTAACTGCCCTTAGGGAGGGACTGTTGACCACCAGTGGTTATCATCAATAGCCTGCTCCAGTCTCTGTTCCACTAGGGAAGGTAGGAACTCAATAGTAAGAGAGAAATGGATCTGCCTTCTTGCTTGTTTGCTGTACCATTTTTCTTCTTGTATTATTCACATTCATCAACTTGGCTCTTTGGCCTCTGGTTTTACACTCAGATCCCTGCCTTGGGTGCTGCTTTTTTCTTCTCTCTTTCTTTTGAGGGGTGGTGGTGGTTTACAATTTTAGTCATTAATCTGTTCTTGGAGCACCTGGGTGGCTCAGTCAGTTAAGTGTCTGACTCTTGATTTCAGCTTAGGTCATGATCTTATGGTTCTTGAGTTCAAACCCTTAACGGGCTCTGTGCTGACAGCACAGAGCCTGCTTACGATTCTCTCTCCCTCTCTCTCTCTGTCCCTCCTCTCTCATGTTCTCTGTCTCTCTCTAAAAAGTAAAATAAACAAACACTTTAAAAAAAGGATCCCTTCTTGAAGGGATTGTAATTACTAGTGATACCCCAAATTAGTAGGTACTGAAAAAGTAGAGGAAACAGCCATATTCTAGCTAAGCCACTGCCATTTTATACCCAGGGCTCAAGCCAGCATCTTAGAAGAAATGACACTAGCAGTCTATGTACTTCCAACCAATTCTTGTCCCTGTTTTAAGCCTTCATTAGGATCCTCCTTGTTGACCTCAGTGCTCTGTAGGTCTCTCCATTTGTACATTATTAGTATCCAAGCACCAAATGAGAGCCCCTCCACCTGCAGTGTCCATTCCAGCCCAGTTAGCCAGACCCACCAAGTTTCCCATTTGAAGGAGAGCTTTAGGCCAGATAAACACCGTAGGTGACCTTTTAGTTTATAAAGCTCTAGACACAGCTTTCTACCAGAAGGGAGAAGGAGACTCAAGTTCATCTAAGTTTCATCCTGTCCATGAAGCATCTCTGGATAACTGAAGGTTAAGTCACTTCCTCATGTAATTCTTTGAAAATATGATTCTTTGCAGAAAAACAATTCATGGACCTAAGGGATCTGGAATGGAGATATTACAAGGGGATCGTGAAGTGGAAGCACAGTACTTTAGATTCATTCATAAATATAAAATACAACAGTGAGAAGAGGTTTGTGGAGAGCCAGGAGATGCCTGGTGTTATTTCCCCTCCTCTAGTTTATAGGTCTTTAGTCATTTACCCTCAGATTGATTATCCAAAAAATACAACTTCTTAAATAAAATACGTAGCTTATTAAAACATCTTGGATGTAGATTTTGCTTTTGACAGCATTGAATTTATACATGAAAAGTAAAGAAGCAGAGGAGCCATGGGACATCGGAATTGCTGGGTCCCTACAATCTTCATGTAAGGTCCAAAATTAAACTATTAATATGGAGAAAAAGATTTGAACCAATCTGCTTGTGTAAGGCCAGGGTTGGACATGTGAAACCCATCTGGACCAAGGCTGAGGCAAATCTGGATCATGTGAAATGTAAGGGTACCTAGGAAGAAGAACTATCAAGGAAGAATACCTCTTAAAAATTTTTTAAGCACACGAAGAAGTATAATATCATGAAACTAGTTGGTAAATTTAATCAAATGGAAGAATTAAACTCAGAGGATATAGAGATCAATCTGAGAACTTTAAAAATAATATGTTAACTGCTCAAAGACATGAGGAAAGAAGTGGCATTTATGAAATAAGAACAGGAAGATTTGAGAAAAAGAATAATTTGGAAATCCTGAAAGTGAAAACTCTAATTATTGAAAGTAAAATAATAATCATAATAGCCCTCAATAAATTATCTCAATGGTATACTGGATATATCTTAATGAGTTTAAAGATAGTATTGAGAGAGAAGTTTCTAGATCATATAACAGTAAGAAAACGGAAGAAATTACAAAATAAGTTAATGGGAGCACCTGGGTTGCTCAGTCAGTTAAGCACCTGACTTCGGCTTAGGTTATGATCTCACGGTTCCTGAGTTTGAGCCTTGCATGGGGTAAGCTTATGCCCCACTTTGGGCTTTTAGATGACAGTGCAGAGCCTGCATGGGAGTCTTTCTCTCTCCTTCTCTCTGCCCCTAGTGGAATTCTCTCTCACTCTCTCTCTCTGTCCCTCACTCACTTGTGCCCTCTCTCTTGCTCAAAAAAAATTTTTTTAATTAATTAATTAATTAAAGTTTTAAAAAAGAGAGAAATATTTCTTCTTGGGGCACCTGAATGGCTCAGTCGGTTGGGTGTCCACTCTTGATTTCGGCTCAGGTCATGACCTTGCAGTCGTGGGATCGAGCCCCAAGTCAGGCTCCATGCTAGGTGTGTATCCTGTCTGGGATTTTCTCTCTCCCTCTCTCTGCCTCTTCCCCTCTCAAAATAAAAAAATAAACATTTTTTAAAAAGAAATATTTATTCTTCAAAATCTAGCTAGAAATCAGCTATAAAACCATTGAGTCCTTATATCTTTCTTCTTATTTTTGCTATGAAAATATTTAAACAGTCATAAAAATAAATAAAATTGTGTAATGAACCTGCACATACTCATCACCTAGATTCAATATTTGCTACGATTTTCCCACACTTAGTTAATCTATTCCTTTTGTTATTGGGTTTGCTGTGTCTATTGAAGTATTTTAAAGATTTTATTTTTCTAAGTAATTTCTACACCCAATGTGCAACTCAAACTTACAATCCTGAAATCAAGATTCACATGTTCAATGGACCAAGCCAACCAGGCGCCCCTGCTGAAGTATTTTAAAGCTTAGGCTTCATGTCTGAGATATCATCCTTATATGCTTTGGTGTGCATCTCAGAAAAATATGGCTATTTTCTTTCATAACCATGATACCATTATTATATCAGGAAAATTAACAGTAATTCCTTGGTACCATTTATGTATCCATATTTAAAATCCCCTGATTGTCTCAAAAGTTCCTTTTTCTAGTTGATGTATTTAAATCAAGATCCAAGCAAGATCTAAAGATTGCATTTGATTGTTTGGTCTCATAAAGTTTTTTTAATCTAGAGCAATTCTTGTTTTTTTCATGCAATTGACTTACTGAGGAACTAGGTCTATTGTCCTGTAAGAAGTTCCCACAAACGAGATTTGTACCCTCAAGTATCATTTGACTTCTTCCATTATCCATATTTCTAGTAAATTGGATGTTTTCTAAAAGTTTGATTAGATTCAGGCTCAACGGTTTTGTGAAAGAATACTTTGTTAGGTGATGCTGTGTACTTCAGACAGAAGGCAAACAACATCTGGTCATTCCTGCTTTAATGATTGTGAGATTGAGTAGTGAATTCAGGTGCTGACCCTTCAACCTTTCACCTAATGGCTTCCATCCATTGACAGTTATGGTTGCCATCCTCTATGAGGCTTCCAGTAACTTCTGCCTCCTGGTAGTTACACATGTGTGTAATTTCCTCCCGGGAGACTAGGCAAGTCTATATGTTTAGAATAGAAGTCTATATGTTGCTATGTTTAGAATATAGCAAAGGTAAAACATGTCCCTTCAGGATTAAGTTAGGGAAAAAATGCAGATTCTATTTTGTAAGTTACTAAAAAAAGATTCTATCTTGGTTCTATCTTGGACTCCCACCCTTGCTCTTACTTGCTAGCTCATAGGGAAGCCAGCTGCCCTCTTCTGAGATGCCCTATGGGGAGGTCCATGTGGAAGTAATTGATATATCTCTGGCCAACAGCTAGTGAGGACCTGAGGTCTGCCCACAGCCACATGAGTGAACCTGGGAGCAGACCTTGCCTCCCCCTGTCAAGCCTAGAGAAGACAACTGACTGCCACCCAGTGGGAGACCCTGAGCCAGGGGCACCCAGTCAAGTCAGGCCCAGATTCCAGATTTATTTTGTATGTCAAAAATGAATATTTATTTTTGAGAGGGAGAGGAACAGAGAGAGGGGGGACAAGAAGTCAAAGCAGGCTCTGTGCTGATAGCAGAGAGTCCAACTTGGGGTTTGAACTCATGATCCGTGAGATCATGATCTAAACCGACATCAGACACTCAACCTACTGAGCCACCCAGGTGCCCCAATGACATGTTTGTTTTAAGCTGCTACATTTTGAGGTAATCTGTTATGCAGCAATAGGTAACTAATACAGTGATCTTTTCCTGGATTAATTCTTTTCATTAGGGTTTATTGATTGATGATCTGTTGTTAATTCCACATTTATTAGTTGGAAATAATTTATAAAGAAAACCTTTCCCTCATCAAGTAGGGCTATTTGAGTTACACTGAAATACAGTGTGTACAAGGAAGGAAGTTTCCCTCTTTCGTTTCCAATTTTCAGATTAAGGTGTTATTGTTCTAGTTACTTCCAAGGGTCACCAAAAAAAGTGTTTCTCTCTCTTTTTGAATAACATTGTGGACTCATTGGTGTTTGTTTTGTTTTTAATAAGCTTTTTAAAACTTATAGTGTCATACACAAAACCACAAATTTGATGGATTAAAGCAAACTGAAAATGTCCATGGAGCCACTCCAGGTCATGAGCTAGAACACTGCCTGCAAGTCCCTCTCCTGTCCCCTCCTAACCATCGCTCCATCCCTCCCCTCCAAGGGTGACTAATGGGTACCTTAGATTCGTTTTGTCTATTTTTGCACTGTTTCATACAAATGTAAACATACATTGGTACATGCATACAAAAGATTCTCTTGTACCTGGCTTCTTTCAACATTATGCTTATAAGATTCATCTATGTTCTGTAGGTAGCAGGAGTAATTTTCATTGTTGTTTGGTATTCACTTGTATGAATATAGCCTGATTTATTTATCCAGTCTGCTGTGGATCAACATTTGGGTCATTTGCAGTTTGGGGTTATTACAAATAATGCTCTTAAGATACCAGTGGCAGTTAAGTAAGGTTTGATTGCTGGAGGAGATCCACAGGATCCAAAGTCTTATAAGTCTCCAGTTTCTTGAAGTAAGAGGGTTTATGATGGTAAAATATTAAAATAAGCATATGCATCACAAACAACAGCAGGGTTCCAGAGGCACCAGACCCAGGCTCTAGTTTTTTTCCCTCTGTAAGGACCATACTGGACATGCTCTTTTTCTCCAATCAGGGGTCAGTGTGTGCATGGAACACTTTAGAATCAGGGAGCATGAATTGGAGTCTCAATTATCTTTTGCATTTTGTTGGTCAAGTAGGCGTATTCCAGCTCCATAGCCAGCCTCTGATAGTCTCATCAAACCAGGTGAGAATCATCAATATCACTCTTGTCGATAAACAATGTTGATAAGTGTACAAACCATCCCAAAGCTTCAAAGACTCATGGTTACAAAGCAACACTGTGAATCGGTAGGCTTCATGCTTGGCCAAAGGATGTTGTAATGCAGGGTCTTTAGCAAAACAGCTCAGGCTAATTCCAGGCCTGCTGGAATTAACCCTTAAAGCACTGTTGCTATGCAATCATGTCTTTTAGTACATGTGCGCACACTTCTCTTATGTGGGATTATATATAACTGGGTTTGAAGATATTTGTGTAGTAGATAATGCAAAACATTTTTCCAAAATTGATTGTACCAATTTAGAGTTCTACCAGCAGAGTACATGGATCTCAGTATTCTCTAAGACTATATTGTTGTTCCTTTAAGTTTTAGTCATTCTGGTAGGTGTAGTGATATTTCATGCATTTTTATTAGAATATCCCTGCTTACTTGTGAGGTGAACCCCCTTTTCATGTTGTTTACTGGGCAGATAGAACTACTCTTGTGTGATGTGCTATTCAAATTTCATGCCTATTGCTTTCCCCTCCTCCACTAATTGATTTGTCAAAAATCCTTATTCTGATATGAATTTTTTGGTATATGTATTTCAAATATCTTCTCCAATTCCATACATTGTCTTTTAATTTTCTTAATGGTGTGTTTTGATTCAATTCTAGTGTAGTATAATTTCAGTCTCTTCCTTGGTAGCTAAAGCTTTGAGTGTTCTGTTTAAGAAATCTTTATGAGAATTCTTTACTGAGCCTGGGTGGCTTAGTCAATTAAGTGTTCAACTTCAGCTCAGGTCATGATCTCCGGTTGGCAGTTTGTGCCCTGTATCAGGCTCTGTGCTGACAGCTCAGAGCCTGGAGTCTGCTCTCAAAAATAAATTAAAAAATTAAAGAATTCTTTACTTTGGGTCACCTGGTAAGCGTCTGACTCTTGGTTTTGGCTCAGGCTGTGATCTCACGGTTGGTGGGATCTAGAAAAACTCATCTTTTCCAAAGTAAAAATTTTAGAATCAATCCCTGAATAATCTGTAGGCTTCCCTATTGAAAATGAAAGCCACGAAGTCACTCCTATTCAGGCAGGGTATAGATGAGTTTTCTTGGCACTAGGTCTTAAAGATAAAAATCATCTCTCTTCCTGGGATCTCAGTTGTATATTGTCATTGCTGCTACTTGAATTTTTCCCATTTGTAATAAATTG